CAAGGTGCAGCGGCTTTAAGCCCAGTCTATGGAAATGGGAGGCTCCTCCCTTGCTTGCTCTGAGGACCTTATGGCTAAGGGCAAGCAAAACTGGGGGGCATCTGAACCACAAGCCTCCAGGTTTTGGAAACAAAGATTTTGGAAACATCAGAATTCCCCAGGTGCAGGTGGAGGATGTTTGCCAGTAGTAGGGCCATTTATGGTTCTGGACTCAGATTTGGAACTAGTTTTGGCTAATTTGCCCTTGGATATAAATTATACAAAAACCAAAAAAAAGATCTTTTTGGGGCAGCTAACTCCCCTAATTCTGGTGGAGTGATCACTAATGGGAGAGCTGGAGCTGCAGAAATACAAGATTGGCCACTCTTCCCATTCCCACCTCCAGTGCACTCACAGTGCCACATCTCCAAAATGGGCAACAGGGAACCTTCCCTTCCAGCCCTCAGGAAATCTTCCTGTTCAAGGAGGCATGACAGGATGTCCCAGTCACAAATACAGTGGAAGGGAAGAGGCCATGCTTTCTTGTGGTACAACACTTAGCCCTGTCCCTGATCCTCAGAATTCACCTCCAAATCCTGGCAATGGTCTGGCAGAGAAGATATGCTGAGTGGAAACTGGACTTGGTTGTTGTGCCTGGATCAAAGCAATGGAACCAGATGAGATCTCTTCCACATCTGGACAACCATGAAGCAGAAGTCAGGCACCATCCCTCAATCTCTGTATGACATCTCCTTGAAGAGGCATCCCAGCTGTGCATTTTGTAAGGTCACCTTGTGAATTAGTTTCCCTCCCTTTCTCTCTTCTACTCACCTCCCTGGTCTTTTCTCCCTCTTCTCAGATGTGCCAGGGTTTGCTCTAAGTGTAGAGCCATCTGATCTTAAAACCCAGTCACTGAAGAGAACCTGAGAGAGAAAGGATAACAGGGTGAAAATCAGCAGATTCCAGAGAGCAACAACAAAGTACCTCTTTCTTTTCTCCCTGTCTTTTAATTAAGTCTCACTCTCATCTTCTTGTTGGGTGCAGATCAAGCACAGTCCTATGCAGTCTCATTCTCTGGGTTCTGGGAGTGACTTCATCCCTTCCCCAGCCAGTACCTTCCTCATGGACCGTTGCTCAGACACAAAGCACCAAATGACTTTTCATGCTCAGGAAGTAACTAAGAAAGGTCAGCAATTCAAGATATGTCATAGCTGTATTTCATGGAGTGGCAAGTCAAAGGAAGGTCATGAAGAGGTATTAACTGCCTACCTAAATATATCCAGTCAAGGGAAGATCCCTTGTACTTAAAGGGAAGCTCATGCAGCTAAGGAGAAAGTGGAAGCCCCAGGCAGCAGTTGTGAAACTGGGAGTATTTCCAACAAAGATTAGCATTTGCTTTCGCATGGCTACTGTCCAAAACACCAGGGTGAGGAATTTTGGTGAAATCCCTCTCCTCAGCCCTATTTTCCAAATGAATGGGGTTGTCAAATGAATCCATGTGGAATTTCACATGCATGGTGGGGTAAATTAACCAATTTGTCAGGGCATGTAGTCAGAGCCAGGACCAGCCATTTAGAATGGAAGATGCAGCACAGGTACCTAAAACAAACACACAGCTAGCGGGGACAGAAAACAGAACAGAAAAGGGGGATGAGATGGACAGCGCGTCTCAGAAAAGATCCCAGAAGAAGAGTAGAGAGTCTCTGCTACGCTGCATCGGCTGTACTTCTCTTCCTCAGAGCTCTTGCTAGATCAGACTTCAGGAGGATGGCTGCTCTCAGGATTCATCAAAGCTACCACATCCTCTGCTCTGGAAAGCCAGCAGTTCCTCTGGTGGAACGAGAGAACTTTCTCCTGTCTTTGTGTCCCCACTTAGTGAAAAGAAAGGATTATATAGGCTTTGTCTTCACAAGACAGAGCACTCCTGTTTGCAGCAAGAACAAGTTATTGGTGGGGTAGGAGTCTCAACATCACTTGTGCTCTTTCTTTGGCTTTCCACCAAAGGGTTTTTGTCCTTCATCTATTTTCACTCAGCCTCTGACTTTGGTTTTCGTTGTTTTACTAAGTTGACTTTTATGCCTTGGTTTTCCTCCTTGGTGTACACAGCTGGGCATGGCCTCAAGTGGTGCAGTTCAATGTGTTTTGATCCTGATCCTGAGAGCCATGTGTGTGTTGGGACCTGCTCTGCTCCCCATGGCTGGGGTCAACTGAGGTGGTTTAGCTACCATCCTCCCTTGTGAGCCCTTTTTTGTGATTGGAAGTAGCCAGGCATTTTCCTATGAGAAGCTGACCTTTTCCCCCCACAATTTCGTGTCTCAGGCCAAATTAGCCAAATCAGTTCCAAATTCTGTTGATTAAACAGAACTCAGTTGTTCAGGTCCATGTAGTTGGTGCTTGCTACCACTGGAAAGTATCTTATGTCCCAAACTCTTCAGGCTGGGGCTTCAGATACTCCGAAATCCATTGCAGGCATCCTATGAACAAGCCTCAAGCCTGGAGGTCTTGGGGTTCAGATGTATCCTGGAGTCTCACTTACCCTTAGCCAGCAGGCCAAAGAAGGAAGCTAGGGAGAAATCCCCCATCTCCATAAAATAATGTGTAGCTGAGATCCTTCCATCAGGAGGCTGTAGTAGACTCTTGTAGGGGGCCTGCCCGCACTGCAAAGGAGAGGTCTACACCTTCAACAATACAAAGTCATTCAAAGATCAGGAAGAAAGGGATCTCCCTTTCCAGTTTCAGCAAAAAACCACCTGGACTTATCCCATCGTATTTCCCCTGAGCTATTGAGAACGGTGCCCGGCACTTTGCTTCAGTTAAACCTTTGCCTGGCTGGACAATTGCTGGTTAACTTACGGCTGGCCAGAAACAGTGCAGACAGAGGGGGTTTGCTGAGTTACCAAACTAAATGAAACTTTCTTCCTAAATTAAGTCACACTTGGGATGATGCTTGGTGATGGGCCCATAAGAAGGAATCACTGCATTTATGTTAGGGCTGTGTACTGGGTTATTAGTGCTCATATGCGCCCTTTATCTAAACACTATATGCTCATGAATTCCAGGATAAGGGGAGAGGCAGTTTGCAGCCTGTTGCCTCCCTGCAGCCTCTGAGAAGTTGTGTTAATGGGATTACTGTGGATATGTGCTTGGTGGTGGCCTGTGCAGACCTCTCCCCAAGCCTGTCTGTCACATCTCCCCCCCCCCAATGGGGTCCCCCACAGTATCTCTTCTAATTGCACTAAATCTCTGCGGATTGACCCTCATACAGTTATGAAACCTATTAGCAGCTCTTAATGCCCAAATCAAGACAAACTTAGATAAAAGAGCTTGTCTTTATGAAAAGAGGGAAAGAGGCTGTACCTGAGAAGTCAACCTCCATTAGCAGGATTTTCCCAGTCCTCAAAAATCTCTCAGCAGGGTTTCAGGACTGGAATCACTAGGGAGCCCCCAAATCCCAGCCCAGTCTCAAAACAGGGGTGACTCAGTGCGTCTCTCATTCCTTCTCTCCCCATGAGCCGGTTGTTAGTAATACTGTGAAGTGCTGGTGCATTTGGGTGTAGCTCGGCTTCATGCTGCTAGGGGGCTTAGCGAAGTGGTCTCCACACTCATGATTGATTCGTGAATTTGGATAGTTCTGTTCAAAATGGGGGTATGTACTGTCTCTGTCATCACTGGCAACCCCTCAATTTGAGAATGATCTCTACCATGGCTCATTGTCTGTGTATTGAGCTGCGATGCCCTGGCACCTTGGATAAGGCAGAGTGGATAGGTGGCTCAGATCTCCTGCCCTCAATGCATTCACAGGGGAAATTGCAAACACAGTGTAGATTTAAAATACCTTACTACCAAAAAATTATCAGTAACCTCAACAGGAAACTATCAGAAGTCAGACCTCAAACCCTCCCTAGAAATAATGCCATAGCTTGAATAGATTGTTTCTCTGATAACTAAGAACAGGTCACTTGTCAAAATGACAACATTTTGAGTTATTTCTGTCCACGTGAGGTGCAAAGAAATGCCAGGAGTGTGACTGCTGGCTCCTTGCTCCATCTGTGTATTTATCTGTGATGAAAGGTTTGTCAAGGGTGAAAGCCAGGCCATGGCCCCCTTGACCAAACTTATCTGGGTATTTATGCAACAGCCACCTGTACCCCTTGCTGCAATCAGAAGTTGGAGCATATGGAGCGTAAGCCAAAAGCTTCCTTTCAGGCACATGTCAAAAGATTTAGCAGTTCCTGGGACAACTGTTGTTTCTTATCTCCAGGTCCAAGCTTTGTCCCATAACTTGACAGTATCTTTCACAGCACTTCCTGTGAAAGGAGGGGGGGCCGGGACTGTTTGCATAGACTTTGGGTGTACCAGGCCCTTGCCACACACCAGGTGCGCCTGAAGATACTGCTTGGTGGGAAGTTGACTGCAACAGAGATGTAACAAGATAGGATGCTGCTGAGCTATTTTATAGTGCCTGACAGCAGTGCTGGGGGGAAAGGTGGGGGAAACAGGAAAATGGAGGATTATTTTTAGTAGTGCAGCAGACTTTTCCATAACACTTTTTTGTTTTACTTTCAAGCCTTGTTTTTAACGGAAACCCCCAGAACAAACTCAACCCCCTGTGCCTTCCCGCAGGAGCCCTGAAGAGGCAGGGGGATGGCAGGTGAGGGGGACACGGGGCGGGAGGCAGACCCCAGCGCCATTCAGCCCGCGGTGGGTCCTGCCTCCCAGCCAGGCGGGAGGGCGCCCCCGGCTGCCAGGGCTCCTGGTCCGAGGAATAGGGGCCACCTCTGAGGCTGAGGATCCAGCTCTGAGCCCAGCCCCCGCTGCCTCACGCCCCTCCAGCGCCGGGCTCGGGCTGCCCCCTGCCCCGAGCCATTGTTCCCCGCCCCGGGGGGCCGCGCCCGGCGCTTTAAGAGAGCGGAGCGGGCCCGGGGCCGCGTCGCCGGGA